TCTAATCACCAGTAATAATCAATACACCTTGATTGCATGTTTGTTCAATTTCAGACTGCAGCAGTTGGTAAATTCTTCAATTTCCTAGTCTTTGGCTTTAGCCTTTCAGTATATTTGAAAATGGTAAGAAAGTTTTGTTAATTTTAAATAGACTCAGATATAAATATTTTAATTCAAAATATTGTTTTATTTAATGTTTCTTGTCAGAATTGTGGAAATTTCAAGAGCTATCAAACTGGTTATTCTTTGCCAAACTATTGAATCATTCTTGTAACTTCTTATAATTCACTTATTTTGTTAGATGAGGAAGATCTGAAGGGGTAGCTATTTTGAAGTCAACCCTAAGCATATTCTGTTCTCCTAATCTGTAAGGTCAAAGACATCAGGGTCTTTCTTTGACTGATAGCAAAATCCAGGTGTATGAAATCAGCTTACCTAAGTACATTAGGAATGCCTGGCAGGCTTGTTTCATGGACATTAAATCAGTGCATAACTTTGTGATGAGAAAACCATGACATCATGACCACTGCTGCTTTAAATCTAAATAAGCTTTTGCTCTTTCCATGCATAACAGCTCAGTGGTTGACTTTCTGTTAGCTTTCCACATTCTGAGCATCTCCAATTCTGGAGAATAAGAGCAAGACCAGAGTATAGCTTTTAGGGTTGATGGAATAAGTATAAGGTAAGCAACAACCATGCCTTATGATGTTTAAAGATGCATCTTCTAAAATTGTTCAGAAGATTGTGATCTGAACTAGAATTAATGTGTCTTTTAGATGATAATTTTAATGCAAATGTTATGTCTAGAGAAATCTATGTAGTATGTTAGTATACTTTATCTAATGGCAAATAATATTTCTACACAGTAGAATAGTTGTTGTGTCACACTAATTTCAAGAAAAAGAGTTTTGTTATGGAGCAATTACTCTACACCCTATTGGATGCTACTTCTATTTGATGGCTCCTTACTCCATTGTATTGTGCTAGCAAACCTCCATAACTGGGGCACTTCACCCCTGGGGATCACTCAGGAGACAAACAACAGACAGGCCTTGTTGTTGTTGTTGTTGTTATGTGCCGTCGAGTCAAACCCGACTCATAGCGACCCCTCCTTGGGTTTCCGAGGCAGTATCACTACGGAAGTAGGATTGCCCAACCTTCCTTCCGAGGAGTGGCTGGTGGGTTTGAACCACCAGCCGTCTGGTTAGCAGGCAAGTGTCTTAGCCACTATGCTACCAGAGCTCCCACAGACAGGCCTATAAGGTGAATAACAGTCATAAGGAACATGCTTCTCAGAATAATTAACCAAAGGAGACCTAGAGGGCAGAATTTGCCTCAAAATAAAGCTTAGAAAGCAGGAAGGGGCAGGAAAGAAGGATGAATGGAAATGGGACTCCAGGGAGGAAGTGGGCAGAGTGCTGTTACACTGAGGGAACTGCAACTAACGTCATGAAATAAAATGTGTATAAAATGTTGAATGGAAAACAAATTTGCTCTTTCACCCAAACCCCAATTAAAACAACACAACAGAAACACTCTGCCTTGTGTTTCCTCAATTCATGAACTGCATTACCCTCAATAAATCTTTTTGCTTTTACTCTAACAGAGTGAGTGTTCTTACTCTTAGACAGTATCCAGGCTGTGAAACTTGAAATCTGGAATGTGAACACTGCCAGGATGACCATCTATCAGAAAAGTCATAAAAATAATTCAGGCAATAACCCATGAGGAAATACTTACATTTGTTGGGTCTCGTTTCCCCTTATAAATATATGTCCAAAGCCTCCCCTGAAAGCATTTATATGTTCATGTTATACCAAGTCTTCCCTCACCAAAATAATTTCTTAAGAAAAAAAACCTGATGAAACAAGGCCTTTTAGAAAAAAATTATTGGTGCAAATAATTATGTCAGTTATGTTGTCTATAAAACATTCCGATAAATTCTTTAAAGTTTTATGTCTTTGTATCTTAGTACCATTTTATATTTTGTGGAATAAAAGGATGTGGCTATTGTTAAATGACTTTCAGGCATCACCAGAATCAATGGAGGAATGTTTAGCAGGGAGATGGAGGTGAAGGGCACAGCAAAGGTGAAAAGAGGGAAGTCGTATATATTGTGCTTATTCTGAGGTAAAAAACCACACCTTTGAATCTCTTTAAATCTATGACTTTATATGCTCTGGGATCATCTGTTGTTGTTGTTGTTATGTGCCGTCGAGTCGGCCCCGACTCATAGCGACCCCTCCTTGGGTTTCCGAGGCAGTATCACTACGGAAGTAGGATTGCCCAACCTTCCTTCCGAGGAGTGGCTGGTGGGTTTGAACCGCCAGCCGTCTGGTTAGCAGGCAAGTGTCTTAGCCACTATGCTACCAGAGCTCCCTAGCAACTCACAAATTAAGAAACCCATTCTTACTGTGAGTGGCAGAATGTTTACAAAAAAAGATTATTGAAAAGTTAAAACAGTTTTCTCAGAAATTCTATACCGTAAAAGAGGTATATCATTAATGTAAACCTAATGTTCTCATGAGAATACTCACACTTTATTCTTGTGGGCCTATTTTCCACAAGAGTTCTGTCACAGAGCTGCTTGTGGAGTAGTCTTTCAGTCTAAATGTAATATAAATATACCAGGGAAGATGAATAGGGGGAGAAAAAAAAATCAAAGGGGACGACTGTTGTAAGCAGAGATTATTTGTGAAATAAATCTCTGTAATGTTGGACTTCCCTACCTTTTTCATGTCAAGACATTTATTAAAAAGGGGAATATTTATATGGTATTCCAAGGTAAGACAATAAGGATGCTGCATTTTGGGAGCCCCAACTACTCAGGCACCATGTATGACCCCTACGGTGTATACCCATAGCCTATCCATGAAGCCCTGATGGGAAATCTCTTCACTACTGTAACTTTTTACAAGTAGATTTCCATCCTTTTGCTCTTTATTAAGTGATACTACATGCCTTTAAATGGGAGCTCTGGTAGCATAGTGGCTAAGGCACTTGACTGCTAACCAGAAGGCTGGCGGTTCAAACCCACCAGCCACTCCTCGGAAGGAAGGTTGGGCAATCCTACTTCCGTAGTGATACTGCCTCGGAAACCCAAGGAGGGGTCGCTATGAGTCAGGGCTGACTCGACGGCACATAACAACAACAACAACAACATGCCTTTAAAAGAAACCAATTTGTTCCTCAGCTCTGTTTCTTTATTATGAAATTTATCCAATTTGTGCTAATGACATAGAAATTATTCTTCACTCAGAGTTTTATTAAATATCTTACCATTTTGTGTCAATCAAGGATAGGAATTACACAAAGACATAAAATATTTAAAATACACACAAGCTGAAAGGAAAAGCCATGCTCATCAGTAAAATCTTGGTAGTTGCAGGACCTCTAAGAAATAACCCTATCCATTTCATTCTTGTCAGAGAAATCTTTGTGTCCTAAGCTAAGGATTTGTCACAGTAATAAAGAAAAAAAGAAAAAAGGTGCATATGAGTCCACCTAATTATCTTCACTAAGTCTGAAGAACAAAATAGCCTATGCTCCCAGCCTTCCCTCCCCACATACATACCACCATCCAGAGTCCACATCCACTTCTTTGCTCCCCTTATTACTTACTGAAAGAGAGAATTTTATATGTCATGATTGAGTCATTTGATGTTGCTTAATTGTGGCAGTTTTCAGACCTAGTTACATATTACAATAATCTAGGAGCTTTTAGAATTTACCTATATCCTGATCCCATTAAATTGTATTCTCTACGGAGAGAGAGATAAGATGCCCCAGATAAAGATAAAATAGTTTATATAAAAAATATAAGGTAGTAAGTATGCTAAAATGCAAAGCAAAGAAGAGTTCCTAAAAGGTACTGATGATTGTTAGCTGAAATTGTAAAAGAATGCTATTATAAGAGGAGTTAGGGCTTCAGCTGAAATGATGTAAATAATATTCCAGGTGGAAGCAAGAGAAGTAGGTATTCCTGATGAGAGGAAAGAGTACAAATATGGCTACGATTCAAATAAACTTAGATGGGTTGAGGAAAAGTGAGGAGACAAGTTTCAATAGTCATTTGGAATTTAAAGCAACGGGAGATGGTCTTATACAATTGGGTGAGACCACATGATGGAGATGATTGAATAGAAGGCCAAAGGCTCATATTGGAGTTAAAATGGTGAGTAATCCAAGGTTTTCAGCAGAGAGAAAGGAGATGGGATTAAAGAGATAGGAAAACATCTGATGTCTTTATGTTTCTTGAAGACACCCATTTGTAGTCTGCTTTCTTCAGTTGGTTTGATGACTTGGATCTCAGTTTTCTCTCAATAAACACATATTTTCCCCATTGCTCATTGCCTAATGTCTGAACAGTCTAGTGCCTATTTGTATGTTTAACTAATGATATGCATTCAAGTTTTGGAGCATGTCTCTCAGAGTTTTTATCACATAGCACCTAACAGTAACTCTAAAAATTTAAGTAGTTATGACAAATATTTTCATAATAGTAACACACTCTGTTCCAGTTTTATAGTCTAGGGTTAATCATATAATCATTCTACTCTTGGTGTCTGAATTTTTGCAATGAAGAGATATTTAGAACATCACATATCCTCTGGTTCAATTATTCTCAGCCATATAGAGGATAAGATTTGTAACTGAGATTGTTTCATTCCTACCCACCTATTCTCACTAGGTTGTCAGTACATTATTATTTAGACAGGAAAGTGGTATCTTGCATTTTCTCGGTCAGTTCAAGGAAAAATAATTTTGTTTCACAAGAAGAAAACTCATTTAGCTTTGTTTTCTGGACTGATAAGTATAGCTAAAATCTATCTATCTATCTATCTATATATATATAGATATATATATTTATATATATCTATATATATTTATATATATGTAGGCTAATAAACTATACTGGCATAAATATTTAAGATCATTAAAGGAAATCATCACACCTCATGTTACCCATACATGAAATTTACAAAGCAAATAGTTATCCGTTTAAAGATTTTAATATATACTTAAAAATGGACAATTTAGTATTACACAGTTATATACCATTGATACTGTAGATATGTGGTATATATATTTTGGTTTTCAGTAAAATATTTTCATGCTTATAAAAGTCACCCTAAGTCAACTTGGGACAAATAGAATAACAAGTAGAAATAAACCAAGTAGTAAATAGGATATAGGTAAGGAAAAAAAATTATAAAGCAGTTACATTGTAGAAACAAAAGAAAAATAAATAAATAAACACACGTTTCTATTATTTGAAGGCAATTCACAATCATTTCCAGGAAATCTGTGAGAATTTAAGGCCATTTGTTCTAAAGAAATGCTTTAATTTAGACACGTCACAAAATTGTAATCCTTGTAAAAACTGTACATGCAAAAACTCTTTACAATTAAATGTGGACAGGCAGATCAGTATATAGGAGTAGGTATTTCACAAATGTGTTGTGCACTAAGTCACAAGGTTGTGTATATTTAACTGGGAATTTCACAAAAGACTTCCAGCCTATGCACCCTGTGTGGCAATGTGGAAAGGTGATAAGAAGGAATCCAAATCAAGAGAACCAGTATCCCTTTGAATTAAAGTATCTAGACAATATATAACAGAATAAAAAGTTTAAAACATTTGCTACATGAATCACAGTTAAATATTCTTGGTCTTAGTCTTTCTAAATATCATTATAATATAAAGATGCTACTTTTTACACAAATTATTTTTTGTGCATTTAAAGTTCACAATGTTTGACTTTTTATAATTTCTACTTACCAATACAAAACATAAATTGACTGCAGTCTAAATTTAGAACCCAAACTCCATGAAAAATGCATGTTCTTACAGGATTCACATCTGCTAAGCTTATATTCCCATACTTGGCAAACAACACAGAGAAACTGATTACAAAGCATCTGTAGCTTCATAAGACACAATTCAGTGACTGAGAAATATGAAAGTATCTTTCCCTTTTCTTATTTGTGATTGTATTTGTCCAGACAGCCATTCAAAGAGATATTGCTCTTGTGATTATAGCTATTGCAATTTAGAAGACAAAGGATTCAATATTCAAAACTCTTATTTTAAGAACAATTATAAAAGTATTGAAATTTAAAAAGTAGTAACATGTAAACAGTGATACAGAGAGACTGCTTTCCTATACACACAGCAGTTGAGGACATATTTGAGTTAAAAACATAATTTGTGCTTTTTCCCAACAATATATTGGAAATTAGCTGTTTCTGTCCAAAACAAAAATAAAATATTCAGAGAAGACATCCATATTTTGCTTCAAGCATTTAAACAAGTTTTCTGTTGCTCATGCAACAACCATATTTACAATTTTGGTTTATGAAGAGAGTTAATTTTGGATCCAAGAAAGCACATTAACCAGTACTGCTGATACCAAACTGAGAAAAGTATCTCATTCCCTGGTTCATTACAAAGCACCAGGCACAAAGCATTGACTCAGCAGTTCTCACTGATGTGTAGTTAACATTTAAGCAGAGTCATATTTGAGTCTGTAACACATGTGTAGGTGGGGTGTACGGGGGAGGCGCAGGTGATGGCTTGACTCCATGGGCCCTCATATAGGAGAGAAACTGCTCGGGGATCTCAGCTAGGACATCTTTAGCCAATCTAGCCATGCTCAATATGTGGTTTCCGCTTCTGTCAATATAATCCCTGAATGGTACAAACTAAAACAGAGGTGGAAAAGAGTTACTCCACAGATCTTAAAATGTTTGTTAATAGACACAAAAATCAGGACATGTAAATATTCATTTGTAGGAAGGAGAATCAGAGAAGCACAGAGTAATGGTGAGAAAATAATTACCATACATTTTTAAACTAGTTGATACAACAAATAGCTATTAAACCAAACTCACTGCCATTGAGTCAATTCCAACTCATAGTGATCCCCATTGGGTTTCCAAGACTTTAAATCTTTTTTTTTTTTTAACTTTTTTATAGTGAAAACAAACACAACAGGACATTTGCCAACATAACAAGGGTGTAAATCTCTACAGAAGCAGACTGCCTCATCTTTCTTCCGTGGAACAGCTGGTAGTTTCAAACCACTGACCTTTGCTTAGCAGCCAAATGCCTTAACCCCTACACCACCAGAGCACCTTACAAATAGCAATAACAGTGAACAAATCTATCTTATATACACTCTATCTAAAAAAAGTGATATAAATGTTTTCTGTGTTGTTCCCCCCCCACTCCACAAGAATTCATATATCCTGATCATGATATGCCTATCATGTTGGTGGAAGTCTCCTGCACTTTTTGGTTTCTGGAGCATTTAGCATTTTGTGGGTTCAATATATTTTCAAGTAAAGTTGCTACACGCCTAACTCGACTTTCAATATGGAAATATTACACAATGCAGAGGAAAAAACAGCTAGGTGAGATTAAAAGAAATAATTAGCATATACTGTGAGTTTGAAACATGTAAAGTATTTTCAATTATTACTACCATGTCAAAAGATATGTTCAATGAAAATAAAATTCACATGGTTTACATCAATGGGAACCTGGAATATTCAGTACAGTCAATCTTGTCCTTGATGTTGATTTCTATAGCCATAATTTGAGAAGAAAAAGGAAATTTTTGTGAGATTTTGGTATACAGTACTTCTATTGAAATATCATCATTCCTATTTTTATATCATATAAAATAATGATTGCTCCATCTTTACATAAGCAATGATGTTACAGCCCTTATCAGCTCACTACCAAATACTCTGGCAACAGTTCACCTGACTCCATTCTCATTCATAGCGGTTATTTAAGTTAATAAGCACTGTCGATTTCCTCTTAGGGACAGGATGATTCCTGAACACGACTTGGAAATGATTGGAACTGTTATTGTAGTATTTTCAGAACACAGTAATTTTTAGTCTTCAGAGAAAGGGCACAGTGAAGACATTTTAGGATGTTGAACAATTTCTGAGCATAATATTTGAAAGTTTGAATTAAATCCTTTCTTTGTTCTATTGAAAGAGAGAGTGAGGACAATCCCATCTTATAATGTAACATAGCTGTTTTAAAGCCATTTTGACAAAATGACTTTTGATTTAAACAGTTACTCAAGATATACTTTCAGAAAACAACTGTTATTAAGAAGTAGGCTTTACAATCATCAGGTTTGGTACAAGTAAATTGAGTTACAAATTTTAAGAAATCAAATAGCAGGTGTAATACCTTTTATATAGTAAAAGCAGTCTCTTTTAAAGAAAGAATAGAAAATTATTCCTTTTCTTTTTAAAATAAGACACATTGTAGGTAGAAGTACACCTATGTAACTATAATTTTACCCTCTCTGCCTGTTCCTTCCCTGGAGGAAAACTGAGAGCAGATTTTAAAAAAGTGTTATAGAAAAGTGACACAGTTTTCTTTTACCCCTGAAGGTAGCTAAGTAAGGGTAAGAAAAAACTAACAGAGCAAGTAGCAGGGAAGGGAACTATAGGGATGTGAACTTTTGTGAAGTCCTATTATCTAGCTATGAACAAAGCTTGACACTTTTAATGAAAAATCAAAGGGGTGCAAAAAAAAGTTTATTGTCTCTCTGCAACTGTAATTAGAAAACTGAGAAAATAGGAATCAACACAGTTAAGGATTAATGAGAGAACATCTAATTATAACTATGTTGTTTTTGTTCTGTGCTGTCAAGTCGATTCTGACTCATAGCAACCCTATATGACAGGTTACAAGGCTGTCATCTTTATGGGAACAGATCACCAGGTCTTTTCTCCCATGGAGCAGCAAGTGGGTTTGAACCACTGACCTTTTGGTTACCATGTGAGTGCTTTACCACTGTGCCACCAACTATATTTATTTCATTCTTATATTAAAAGGCAAAGCATTTGTTGTTGTTGTTGTTGTTATATGCCGTCGAGTCGGCCCCGACTCATAGCGACCCCTCCTTGGGTTTCCGAGGCAGTATCACTACGGAAGTAGGATTGCCCAACCTT